TGACCAATAAAGACACGCATACTTTCAGGTTTCTCCACTACCCTATCTACCTGTGATTCCACCTTCACGGAACTATGAACCTGCACTGAAAAGGTCTCTTTGTTCGGCAACACTCCCCCAGCCTACCATTAAGTGTATATGTCCTGGTCTGGTTTGCCTTGCCAAATTGCAACACCTCACGTTTATCTAAATTAAACTCCATCTGCCACTCCTCAGCCTACTGGTCCATCAGATCAAGGTCCCATTATACTCAGAGATAATCTTCCTCACTGTCCACTGCACCAACAATTTTACTGTCATCCGCAAACTTACTATCTATTCCTCCTATATTCACATCCAAATATTTATACAGATGACAAAAATGTGTTAGACTCAGATACAATCTAGGTATTTGAAAGAAGATTATTATTTGGAAAGGAAGCAATGTGCGGGGTTGTGGAGAGAATGCAGTAGAATGGTGTTGTGTGAAAGGCCAGTTGGAGAGTTAGTGCAGACACCAGAGGGTGAATTATCTTCTCCTGTGCTGTAATAATTTTGATGACTCTGCATTTCAATCCTCACCCTAATTTCAATAAGTTATCTTTTTGACAAAGTTTCTTTTCAATTCTACTAATTTCTCCCCCTTATGACCTCTCAATTTTTTAACCTCTCAGCAGAAGCTTGTGGGAATCTTATTGAAGTTTCCAAATATCATTATTTTTGACTACCTCAAACCGTGAAAAGACAAACTATGGCTTACTTGGATCCTACTTGATTTCAATTTGAATGGAAAAAATTGATTATTTAATGGATCATTAAAGTAGTTTGATGATGATAGGTTAATTAAACATTTTAAATCGGGGATTGAAAGATTTTTGTTATCCTAAAGTAGTATGGCATTGGGACAAAGGAGTTAGTTGGCAGATTGATCATTGATTTGACAGATGAAAATGTTTTTGACCTCAGATGCTGCGGTGAAATTCCTGCAGTGATGTTACAAGGCTCAGAAAACTGGCTTTCAAAAACTAGTAGGACCACTTTTCCCCCCTGCTCTTAAGGGTAATTGCTTACACCTCTGGAATTCAGCTTTGGACTAATGTTGCAATGAAGTCTGAAGCAGAGCAGGCAAAGGGCAAATTGAATATCAGTGATAGGTCATACTCATGTAAGTGTTTGACAGACACATCTAAGTGATCCCACAGCCTATGGATTAGATCGAACCTCTTCAGGCTACCCTGTCCAGTTGTATTGATGTATTGATTTATTGTCGTCACATGTACCAAGATATAGTGAAAAGTGATGTTTTGTGTGCTCCACAGGCAGATTGTACAATACAAATTGCATCGGGGTAGCAGAACAGAGTGCAGCATATCATGTTACAGCCGCAGAGCAGATGCAGAGAGAGAGCAATCAACATTAACATCAGAGGTCCATTCAGAAGTCTCTTAATAGCAAGGGAGAAGCTGTTCTTGAATCTATTCATACGTGTACTCAACCTTTTGTATCTTCTGCCCAAAGGAAGGAGGTGGAAGACAGCATTACCTGGGTGGGAGGGATCTTTGATAACGTTGATGGTTTTCCTGAGGCAACAGGAAGTATAGAGTCAACGGATAGAGGTTCATTTGCGTGATGGACTGGGCTGTATTCATGATACTATAGTTTCTTGCAGTCTTGGGAAGAGCAGTTGCCAAACCATGTTGTAATGCATCCAGATAGGAAGCTTTCTATGGTGCATCTATAAAAATTGGCAAGCGAGTCATTGTGGACATGCTGAATTTACTCAGCCTCCTGAGGAAGTAGAGACATTTTTGTGCTTTCTTGACCACAGCATAGACATGGATGGACCAGGACTGATTATTGGTGATCATCACTCCCAGAAACTTGATGCTGTCGGGTTGCTCCACCTCAGCACCATTGAGGCAGACAGGGACGATCCCTCCACTCTGCTTCCTGAAGTCAATGACCAGCTCCTTCGTTTTGCTTACGTTCAAGGAGAGATTGTTGTCTTTACACCATGTCACTAAGCACTCAATCTCTTTCCTGTATTCTGTTTCGTCGTTGCTTGAGATCCAACCTACAACCAAACTTGGAAATGGAGTTGGGGCAGAATTTGGCCACACAGTCATGAGTGTATGAGGAGTACAGGAGGGGGCTGAGTACATAGCCTTGCAGGACACCGGTGTTTAAGATTATGATGGAGGAGGTGTTGTCACCTATTTTTACTGATTGCAGTCTGTGGGTCAGGAAGCCAAGGATCCAGTTACAGGAAGGGGAAGCCAAGACCTAGGTTTTGGAGCTAACAGATGAGTTTGTTTGGAATTATGGTGTTAAAGGCAGAACTATAGTCAGTAATTAGGAGCCTGACACAAGAATCCTTGTCCAGATACTCCAACGTAGGGCTAGGGAAATAGCATCTGCTGTGGTTCTGTTGTGCCTTTAGGCAAATTGCAAAGGATCAAGACAATTTGGTAGGCTAGATTCATGTGAGCCATGACTAACCACTCGAAGCTGGACAGTAGTCATTCAGGCACACATGATTTTTCTTTAGTGGTTGTGAATAGTGGAAGGCAAGCAAGTCATTATAATGATGTAAAAGATCAGTGCAAAAGATAAGGTTTGCAAAAGATAAGGTTGAAGCATTTGCAATTGACAGATGCCAAGTGAATGATCCAGCTCAGCCTCCTCCAGAGGTCCTTGCCATCACAGATGCCAGTCTTCAGCCAATTTGATTCAGTCCACATCATATCAAGAAAAGATTGGAAGAACTGGATACTGCAAACGCTATGAGCCCTGACAACATTCCAGCAATAGTACTGAAGACTTTGCGCGTGGGAAATCAGCTGTCATAAATTTGTTAGATTTCTTTGATGAAGTGACCAGGAAAGTTGAGGGCAGGGCAGTAGAAATAGACTATACGGATTTCAGCAAGGCCTTTGATAAGGTTCCACATGGTAGGCAGTTCCGGAAGGTTAGATCACATGGAATCCAGGGAGAGCTCACAAATTGGATACATAATTGGCTTGATTGTAGGAATGGGTAATAGTGGAGGGATGCTTGTTGGGCTGGAAGCCTGTGACTAGTGGTGTGCCTCAGGGTTCAGTGCTGGGTCCATTGCTATTTCTCATCTACATCAATGATTTGGATGAGAATATACAAGGCATGATTCCTAAGTTGGCAGATGACACTAAAATAAGCGATATCATGGACAGTGAGGAAGGTTATCAGAAGTTGCAGCAAAATCTTGACCAGCTGTGGAAGTGGGCCGAGAAGTGGCAAATGAAGTTTAATACAGATAAATGTGAGGGCTTGCATTTTGGAAAGTCAAATCAAGGGAGGAGTTTCATGGTGAATGTGATAGAAAATGGAGGATGCAATGTCAACAAATTGGTGAGATGGTCTTGATATGCATCACAAGCAACAGTATGAAAGGAGAACTGTAACTAATAGAAGGACAGAAATGCTATTGATAATTTTGAGAAGTGAAAAGATTTGTGATGTACAATAAGAGAATTAATTTCAGAAATGCTTTGGAAACGGTCAGGTAATGTCTCGGGTGCAGTTCAAAGTATGGTAGCATATTTGAAAGTAAGCATTTAGAGGAACGTTCAGAGGAAGACGGAGATGTCGATCAGAGAGGGCATTGTATTGGTCTCAAGAAGTTTCACCTTTGTAATGAATGTGTTAGTAGCAGAGGCTTTCAACTGCGCAGTATTAGGCAGTGAATGAACTTCTAAAAAAGTGTAACGAGTAGACTGGCTTAAACACTGCCTAGATGCCGAGTATTAAGGATTTTGACAAAGCTAAGGAGATTTCCACCAATTTCCAATTTGGGAATGATAACACACCAAAAACTGAACAGAGTGCTCATTCCTGTAAAACTGCAGAATCAATTATTTTATTGGCATAGATGTAGTGTCCAGTGAAATACCATTAGTATCAAGTAGGTGGCTGATCTATGCTGCATTTCCCACCAGCCTGTTGGAACAAGTGGGAGAAGGTCTGTTTGTATTGAAGGATGATCTTACT